GGGCACCTGGGTGGCTCAGTCAGTTGAGCGACTGACTCTTGGTTTTAGCTCAGGTCATGATCTTGAAGTTCATGAGTTCGAGCCTCACGTCGGGCTCTGTGCTAACATTGCAGAGCCTGCTTGGGATTCTCTCTCTCTTTCTCTCTATGCCCCTCCTCTGTTTGTGCTCTCTCTTCATTTCTGTCTCTCTCAAAATAAATAAATAAACTTAAAAAAAATTTTCGGCAAACCATGTTGTAAACAGAAGTGCTGTCATCCAGGCTCTGTCGTTTCATTTCCAGAGCACAGGCAGAACGGATTTAGCATAGTTCTGAAGGGTGCTAGGAGTTTTGGAATGGTCATTGAGCATTGGCTTCAACCCAAAGTCACCAGCTGCATTAGGCCCTCATGTGAGAGTCAGCCTGTCCTTTGAGGCGTTGAAGCCAGGCATTGACTTCTCCTCTCCAGCTATGAAAGTCCTGGATGGCGTCTTCTCTCACTCTAAGGCTGTTTCATCTGCGTTGATCATCTGGATAAGCCAGATCTTCTGGATAACTTGCTCGCTTCACCTGCACTTTTATGTTGTAGAGACGACTCCTTTCCTCAAATCTCTTGAGCCCACCTCTGCTGGCTTCAAGCTTCCCCACCCCTGTCAGCTTTCATAGAACTGAAGAGAGGTCGGGCCTTGCTCTGGGTGAGGCTCTGGCTTAGGGGAATGTTGTGGCTGGTTTGACCTTCTATCCAGACCACTCACACTTTCTCCAGAAAGAAACACTCATGTGTTCTCCGGAGTAGCACTTTCAGTTTCCTTCAAGGTCTTTTCCTTTGTATTCACAACTTAGCCAACTGTTGGGCACAAGGGTCCCAGCTTTTGGCCTGTCTTGACTTTTGACATGCTTTTTTTTCACTAAGCTTATTTATTCCTAGTTTTTGATTTGAGAAGAGATGTGATTCTTACTTTCACGTGAACACTTAGAGGCCATTGTAGGGTTATTAATTGGCTTAATTTCCATATTGTTCAGTCTCCGGCAACAGGGAGGTCCGAGGAGGGGGAGAGATGAGGTAGGAGTCAGTCGATGGAGCACTCAGGATACATACACAACATCGGCTGATGAAGTTAACTGCCTTACATGGGTGTGGGTTGTGGCACCCCAAAGCAATTACAGTAGGAACACCAAAGACTGTTGATCCCAGATCACCACAACAAATATGAGAAAGTTTGAAATACATCAAGAATTATCAAACTGTGACCTAGAGACACAAAGTGGGCAACTACTGTTGTAAAAATGGCATCAACAGACTGACTCGCTTGAGGCAGGATTGCCACAAACCTTCAGTTCATAAAAACAAAACAAAACAAAACACACGATTATGTGTAAAGTGCAACACCGCAGAGCGCAACAGAATGAGGTGTGGCTGTAGTGAATGTTGATCAGGGCTCACTTAACATTGCTACAACCCGCAATGTTGACCTCAGGTTCATTTTCTAGATGATGAACGAAGTTCCAAGATAGGAAGGCCCTTGCTCAGGGTGGTGCGGGGCCGAGCCAGGGTTGGAACTCAGAATCGTGTGACCCTAAATCCTGTACATTTCCCACCCCCAGAGGTGTTGTTTAGAGGTCCAACGGTTCAGTTAGCCTCAGACTTCCACACAAACGTCTTGTCCCCCTTCCCCAAGACATGGGCTCCCGCAGCCTTCCACACTGCCTTCCGTTCTCTGTACGGTCTTGGCGAGGGGGACAGAGAGACAGCGCAGGGCCGTGTACTTACTGATGCACTTGAGATTGGGAATTGTCCAGTGGGCAGTGTTCGTGGTCTTGTTGAGCACGCACTCTGTCAGGGTGGACGTCCCGGCTTTCCGCTTGAAGCCAGTGTTACAGGTATACCGCTCGGTGGAGTTCAGTTTGTAACTCTTGACCCGGATGTCTGCATGTTCCACAGATGTGGGAGGAGGGCACGTGACGCCTGCAAAGGTGCAGACAAGAGAGGAGAGGTGACCACATTTCAGCTGGCTCAGAGGAGCTCCCCAGGGTCACTTGGGTGGCACTCAGCACCTTCGAGCCAGGGACTGGCTCTCCTGGGGGCCCCTTAGGATACACCCCACATTCCAAGCATGTGGAAAACGTTCAGTAAGGGCTCTCATCGTTTAGAGGCCTCCCAGGAGCCTTGCCTTAGGCGCTCGCCATCCAGCATGGCTCGGGACTGGGGAGTCATCAGTGGAAACCCTTCTCCCTGCCCTCCCCTTGCTATTGGTCTTCCCGGCCCACGCAGCCTGGGCCTCTGAGCTCTCTTGCCTGAAAACAGTAACAGCCCTGGGATTGCTCTCCCTGCTTGTTCTCCCTGAAAGCCTTTCATCCGTTTCTGTAACACAGCCAGGTATCTTCAGAAATGCATATGATGGCTTCACTCTTTCCTGGTTGCCCGCTGCTCTTAGGATAAAAACTCACATCCTCAAGAAGTCTTCAAGGCTCTGCTGGATGGGGCCCCACCTCCTCCCTAGCTACTCTCCCCCTGCCCCCCACCCCCGGCCACACTGGCCTTCGGTCCCCCCCACCCTCGGCCACTCACCATGCCTACCGCTCTCCCCAGCCCATCTCCTGCCATCCTCCCTAACTTGAACATGACTTTCTCAGGAAAGCCTTCCCTCCCTGCCGCTCCCCCCTCAAAGCAGCCAGGTCCCATAGTTCCGTGTTCTTTCCCTGCGCAGTCAGCTGCCTTCAGGGATGTATGGAAGACACTGAGATGTTATAATGTCTGTCTGTCTGTCTCCTAATGTGCGCTGCGAGCTCTAGAGGGTGGGGGCCACATCTGTTTTGCCCGACACCACCCTCCCTGAGCCTAGTACAGTAACTGGCAAGAGAAGGTGTTCAAGAAACACCTGTTCAGAGAATGACATTCATTATGCACATGCCCTTTACCCCAGCGATTTCGCTTCTAAGAATTTTCCCGACAGACATGCTGGCATATTTATGAAGTGAGTATGTACAGAGTTATTGATTATGGTAGCCAGTATCTGTGTGAATTACCTCGCATGTGGTCAGCAGGAGACTAATTTAGTAACTTACAGTACAGCTACTCCTGGAAGAAGTGCTAGTCAGACCTCTGTAACAGACGAAAGGGTGCTCTTTATCACTGAAGTGGAAAGATCTCCCAGATACACTGTTACATTAGGAAGAAGACGAACAGAACCCCGTGTGTCATTTGCTGCCATCGGTGAAAAAAGAAGAAATGGTACCTATCCACAATTTTTTGTCTGTACATAAAATCTCTGAAAAGATGCAAAAGACTATTAACACTGGAGGAGAGACAGCTGAGGACACACTGGGAGTGGGAGACTTTTTACTGAATGCCTTATCATAGCTTCTCACTTTTTTCCTTTCCATACTTTCTGAATTTTTAGTAGTACAAATGTTTTACCTGTTAAAAATGCTTTTGAAAGTTTTTGGAATGGTCTGTTTCTTCAGCTGTTTTGTAAATGGATGTTTTTCCTTTTCATAGATTACATCTATGCCAGGGTGAAAATTGAAATAGTTAATAAATAACCAGTGCCACCGAGATGCTGACCAATTGGGATGGGTGCGGGCAATGATGGGGGCCGGGCGGCTGGCCACTGGCCACAGATGGAAGGCCACACTGATGAGGGCTGGCAGAATATTAGTTGTGCCCAAATGTTACATACTGTTTAAAATACATGAAATTCGGGGCGCCTGGGTGGCGCAGTCGGTTAAGCGTCCGACTTCAGCCAGGTCACGATCTCGCGGTCCGTGAGTTCGAGCCCCGCGTCAGGCTCTGGGCTGATGGCTCAGAGCCTGGAGCCTGTTTCCGATTCTGTGTCTCCCTCTCTCTGCCCCTCCCCCGTTCATGCTCTGTCTCTCTCTGTCCCAAAAATAAATAAAACGTTGAAAAAAAATTAAAAAAAAATATAAATAAAATACATGAAATTCTTCATAATGAAATAAGTTGGGGTGAGGGATTTTGGGGTACCCTGCCATAGGAACTCAGACCTCAGTTGAATCTAGGGCAAGAGAGGGGTAAATCATGCCAAGTGTGAGTGTTCACTGCTTCTATTGTAAGATGTTGCCTGTGAAATAAATGTGAGAAATGCAGAAGATTCTAGAATTAGGTATTTTTGGCTTTCTCTGAGCCAGTTAAGGCAGCTTGAGGTAAAATTGAAGCCAAGAGGTTTTGCAAAGCCATTGGGAGGATTCTGGGCCCTCTTTTGGGAGACAACCCACCAGTCACTCCCAGCAGACTGTGGGTGTGACGAAGTGCATGCCCAGTGAAAACTAACATACCTTTTGTCAGAAGAATGGTACCAAAAGAAGGTAAGAGCCAGAGCTAGACCGATTCAAGTTTTCTCCAGTCTGTGCTACAGTGTTGAAAATGCCCCCCACCCTTTCTAATTAGAAGTTGAAAGATTTGAGCAAGATTTAGACCCTAAGATTTTCTTTGGTATGAAACTTACTGGTTAAACCCCATGTCCTGGGACTTGCCCGACCATGTACATTGATTTCATTTTTGTGGCACCTCTACAGAGAGGTGCTCAGTAGATCTGCAGGGTAAGCTCCAGACCTGGTCTAATGACTTGAGGGCGTGATACCTACTGAAGTTCTTGATCCCCATATCTGGATATATCCCAGGAACACACAGTTCTAGTCTGCAAATCTGATGATTTAACTACTTGAAAATACTGTAAATGGCCCAAATCCCAAATGGATGAGGTGAGTTCAGTCACCTGTCCATAGTAGACTTTGGTGCAAGGTCTGAGGGGGACAGAATCTGGAAAATGTAACCATCTTCTGTAGCTCTCCATGTCATAGTGAGGATTCTGGATTCTGGAATGTGAATCCCCACCCGTCCCAGAAAATGTAATGACTCTCTGATCTTAACCTGGGCATTGTGAGTGGTGCTGGTTTCCTTCTGCATCCTTCAAATAAGCCAGTCTAGTTTGATTTACCCAAATAGTGTCTGTGTTTGCTTTCCTGCAATCTGAGACTTCTTTTGGTTGGGCAGGATCTGGGGTCTGCTTTGGTAGCCACGGGCCCCCAAATGGCAGCTTTCTCCTTCCTTTTCACCTGCTTCCTGTGGGCTGGCCTGTCTCTTCCTAGGAACCCTAGCTTTCAGGACTAGCCCCCTGATTCCTCTGCCCAAGTCTTGCTTGTGTTTTCCTGCAGAGAGCAACCCCTGGATTGCCACACTCCCCAGCTGCTCACTTAGGTTTGCCAGGACATGAACTCACAGCCCAGGCCCCTTATGCCGTATCCCACCGGCCAGCTGGGCTTCTTTACACATTAGAGTCAGAGGGATCCCCCTCCGAATTCAGAATGTGGTCAGAACAGTCTGCTGTAAATACCTGGCAGCCTGCAGGTAGACCAGCCTGCCAGTGGGTGAGCTGTTGGGTTCTCCCTTCCTCCTTCAGGAAGTAGGCTCTCCCGGCTGAGGCTCCAGCATGCCTCATACCTGAGCCCACCTGAGCTATGACAGCCCCATGGATCAGTAAAGCCCAGGCCTTACTGTAGTCTTCCTAGTCTCAGGAGAGGAAATGATTGTTTGATTTTTGTTCTTAATCCAGCCACTGACTTTTAAAGCCCCACCGATAATCTAGTCTTAGATTTTGTACAATATAAGATACATCTGTGCTGTTCTTTACCACTCCATGCTGGTAGTCTCAATGCTCCCTCTTCATTTACGTGGCTTCTAGAGTGGACTCAAACATTTTCTTTTCCTTTTCAGTGAGGTCATAAGATAATCTTGATTTAGACGTATCAGTTTCCTAAAAATACTATTTTCTTACTAATTTCTATACACAAAATTAATAGGAGAGAAGAAATCTGCCTGCTTAGATTTACTTCCTTTACCATCCCCTGTCTTCTCTCTCTCTCCCATCTGGTCTTTGGATTGTATCTTGTTCTCCTGAATCCCTCCCAGAACATTTGTATTCACCAGGTAGTCCTCACGTTCCATTTTTAAGTTCAAGTAATGTTCTGAATCTATTGATCTTCTGTCTGTCATCTTTTTTTTCAGTCTCTGCTGTTTTCTGTGTTGTTTCCACATTGGATATTTTTCTCGGCAGATTGTTCTACATCTTCTAAGTCCTAAAATATTCTCCTCCATTTAGAATGGTGGTTTTCAACTTTTAGCATTTGTGGCACGCTTTGAAATGAAACATCTGTGACCTGTCACTGAGGGGGATTTAGAAGGTCAAGGCATTGGTGACCATATCAGCAAGAGTTATAAAGAATTGATGCTATGGTAGAAGGGCATCAGTGCTAAAGTGTGACTCATTTCATGGCCCCTTGGAGCTGGCTGCTATGTGTGTGGGCAGTTTATTGAGTCTATGTGAACTCAGAGTTCTTACAGATTTCAAAAAATATGCAGTCTTCTCTGTAATCGCTTGACTTATTCCCCTTATCTTAGATTCATGCCAGATAGTACCCCTCTCAGCTCAATACACCCCTTCTGCCAAATGCCGGTGTTATTGCAGGTGTATTCAGTTTTGCAGCAATGAATCTGACACAGCAACTAGGACAGGGTTCACAGGAAACGTGCCATGCACACAGTTGAGAGCCACTTCTTTGAAAGGAAAAGTAAACCAGGACAGACACTGAGTAAACAGTGACAAGTTTATAGCCTCTACAGATTTTCCTTGAAAACTCATCGATGCTGTTAAATCAGAGGGCAAAGGTCTAAAGGCACCGTCAATGCTCTTTTCTTCTTGATAACCTCTGGGAACCAGTCATCACCAATGAGAAAGACAAACACAGCCCAGGTTTCCCACTGTTGGAAGAAGAAGTTACAACTATGGAAAGGGGGGGAGAGGATGACTAGAAAGTGCCCTATGATGTTAAAGAGAATTGGGACCAGCGATATCAGAACGTAACCATTGTGTGTGTGTGTGTGTGTGTGTGTGTGTGTTCATGCATGTGTACGTGTGTCTGTACATGGGAATGTGCATGTGCAGATGTGTGTGTGTTTGTGTGTCTGTGCGTGTTCCAGCTCTGTCCTCTTACAATGCTTAGAAGCAATGACGTATCAGCACTGAATGTACTTGGTGCCCAGATCTTGGTCTCCATCAGAAGAAACCATGGCTACTTGAGGAAAAGGCTGATTCCAGGGCTAGGATGGGGAAGGCATGCCAGACGAGCCTGGAATACCTTGTACCAGAAAGTAAGGAGATACTCAAAGAATGATGGTGACATATCAAAAGGATATAGGGTGAAGGCTGAACTGGCTATCACTGGCCACACACAGGACCATTTGAGTATCAAAACAAAGACAGTAATTATGACAGATTATGGAACAACATAAAACAAAACTCTGTAAGTCTGAACTAATATAAACAAATAAATGAATAAATAAGTGAGCAGAGGGAGAAGAGAAAGCCCTCCTTAAGGTATAATTCTAAATAATAGAGAAAGAATGATGGCATGAGGGAAGAAACAATGCTAGAATGAGCGGATCGAAGTTTGATAATGGACAGGACATTTATATAGTGTGGCGGATTCCACTGTGTCAGTTTAGCTAAGTGGGACACGCATTCCTCAAATCTCCTCCCTGCATGGTGACCAGTTAGCCTGTGGCACAATCACCAATCCTGGGATAAATCAAGTTCATGTGCCTCCTGATACAGTTCACTGAGAAGGACACAACATCACACCTGTGGTATTTCTCCCCCAGATCCATAATCTGAATCTCATCATGAGGAAACACTAGTTGAACCTAAATTGAGGGACATTCTAAAAAACACTTGGCCTATATTCGAGATCAAGAAGGATAGAGAAAGGCAAAGGAAATGTTACAGACTGCAAGAGGCTAAGGGGACATGGCAACAAAATGTAACATGTGGTCCTGGATTAGATTCGGAATCAGGGAGAAAATGGCTAACAAGGGCATTATTGGGACAACTGACAAAATTTGAACATGCCCTGAATATTAGATAATAATATTGTGTCCAGGTTAAACTTCCTGATTTTTGATAAGTGTTTTGTGATTATGTGAGAGTGTTGTATTTTAGGAAGGCATGTAAGAGGATG